TGAGGATGACTGAGTGTGTATTTGTGTAAAAAAAGAGAGAAAGAAAGAGAGAGAGAAAAAAAGAGAGAGAGAGAGAAAGTAAGGATGACTGAGTGTGTATGTGATTAAAAAAGAGAGAGAGAGAAAGAGAGAGAGAGAGAGAGAGAGAGAGAGAGAAAAAAGAGAACAAGTATGTGTGTGTGTGTAGGAAGGTATGTATGTTTGTACGTACGTGTTTGTTTGTTTGGGTGAGAGCGTTTTCATTGGAAAGTGTATAGTGATTTAGTATTGTTACTACCTGCGGACTGGAGGTGACATCACAGAGTACTGCAACAGTTCCATTGGGCCCGGTGTCTTCATCAATCACGTTCATGTCGCTGTACAGCAGGGCGCCAACATCAGCGTTCTGAGTCAGTAATTAAGTATTCGATTACTACTTTGTGGAGTTCAGGTAACGAATAGGCTAGTAAAACTTAATTTTTGTGTTTTAATTTTTGAAGCGAGTAAACGTTACTGAAATTTCTATAAAATAGTATTTGAAAATCTATTCTATAGAAGTTTTAGTAATATTAGCGACAACCAGGAACATAAAACATTGTATTCATGTTTTCAGTCGAGAAGTAATTTAAGTTAGTCTGTTTAGCTTCAATTTATTCTCAAGAAATAATGCAATTGGAGTATTTTGAGAATAATTTATTAAAATATATCTTCAAAAAAAAATTACTTACATCTCTAACGGAGAACCGGTATGGATTTGAATCGAATTTCGGATTGTGATTAACCGGTCGGACATTAACGGTTACTTGGGTGTATATCGGCTGAAAATTTTGAACATTTCATTTGTAAGTATTAATCTTAAAACAATTTTTTTTCACTAAATAATAATTCTTATAAATTTTGATTAGTGAATGAATGAATGAATGAATGAATGAATGAATGAATGAATGAATGAATGAATGAACACAATAAGCGTGCACGCACTCATATGTACAACTTATGTGTATAAAAATCAAAACATACGCACATATATACAATACAAACACACACACACAGACACACACACACAGACACACACGCACGCACACACTCACACACTCACACACATACACACACGCACATAAACACAAGTAATTTGAGTAGTAAATTTAGTAAAAATATATTAAAGGGCAAAGTTAGTAATGAAATAAAACAGAAAAATTTTTCGAATCAAAAAAACCCGATTCCGCGCCAAAAATGAAGAAAACAGAATTTAAAAATAGATTACCGCCACCATAAAAATAATAATAATAATAAAATAACAATAAGTATAATATAATTTTCATAATAATCATAATTACAAAATAATAAATTATTATTAATTAGTGTGCCAGTAACCAGTGGATAACAATTTTATAACAATAAAAGTACCACTCCCAACACTAATAATTCTTAATGCATTTAGTAGGAGTAACATAAAAATCATTAGTATTTACAGCTTTATTTTTAGTGAAGTATTGTTTTAACTTCAACACTATTTTAGTAAAATTATGAAGTTTATTTATTCTTTTATTCATTCGTTCATCCGTTCGTTCATCCATCCATCCATCCATCCATCCATCCATCCATCCATCCATCCATCCATCCATCCATCCATCCATCCATCCATCCAACCATCCATCCATCCATCCATCCATCCATCCAACCATCCATACTATCATTCATTTTTTTTTATTCTATAACCTGCATATTCTGAAGAGAATTAAATTATTATTATTATTATTATTATTATTATTATTTTATCGTTAATTTCAAACCATCCATCATCATCATCATCGCGCGAAAATTTTTTAAATTTTGTAAAAAAAGCGGCTATGAAAACTAAACTTATTTTTAAAATGATGATTATAACCGTGACGTCATCGCTGTTAGTGTCGTCATCCCATTCAAAACATCATCATCACCGCCGTTATCAGCATCGTCATCGTATCACTATCAGTTTTATATCACCATCATCATCATCGTCGTCACCCTCATGACGCAAAATCAATATCCTCACCATCATCATCATCATCACCATCACCAACATCGTCATTTCTTTTTCACCCTAATCATCATCATCATCATCATCTTACCGTCCTTCCTTCGATGACAACTGAAAACACAACCGGAAATGAAGGCATGCTCTGGAGAACAAAAAAAATGAAATGACTTCCGTTACTACAAATAAAAAAACCATAAAAAATTACTTTACTTAATTACTTTTTTGTTACTAGCTGAACACTCTCAGGCTGGATCGATCCGCGTCTGCTCTTTCTGGTCCTTCTATCTGTAACTCTCTATCCCATTCTCCATCATCATCATCTTACCTCCATCATCACTTACTTTACTTACTATACATGCTTCAACTGACTACTACAAACAAATTATAGCCGCTAAAAAGTATTTCATTTGAATTAGTATTTCGCAAATGATTACTATATACATTATAGCTACTGATATTATTTTACTGGGTATATACATTATAGCTACTGATATTATTTTACTGGGTATATACATTATAGCTACTGATATTATTTTACTGGGTATATACATTATAGCTACTGATATTATTTTACTGGATATAAATATGTTGATAGCGAATACTACATGGAGAAGTTGAAATACTAAACCTGGTCACCACTACAAATACTAAGGAAAACGAGGAAAATTACTTGAATTACTGCGATTACTTTAATTATTTATCAACCAATCATAACCATTCAATTAGTTTCTAAAGCAATATTTCCACGATGTTCAACAGCTCTCCTCAATGAATTTTGCAAACAGATGGGTCTTAAGATCCGCTCTGAACTTCGTAAGTGATGGAGAAGTAGCTGGAGAAGGAGGTAGAGAATTCCAGAGAAAAGGGCCAAAAAAAGCAAAAGCAGATTTAGCATAAAAGTGTTTAACACATGTTAAGAAAAAGTGAGAACAAGAAGAAGATCGTAATTAACCGGGAAGTTTAGGTTTAATTGATATATCTGATAAGTACTTTGGAGGTATTTTAGATATATCTGATAAGTACTTTGGAGGTATTTTAGATATATCTGATAAGTACTTTGAAAGTATTTTAGATCGAGACTTTTCCATAAATGTGCAGATTTTAAAAATTATTCAATATTTTATAGGTAGCCAGTGCAAGAGAACAAGATATGGAGATATATGAGAAAAGAAAGGGGCACGAGCAACCAGACGAGAAGCAGAGCTGAAAGCTTTACTTAAATGAGAGAATGTAGAATCAGGAAGACTTTAAATACTTATGCTACTTATATTTCATAATTTACATATTTTGTTTAATTGCTACATATATTTAGTGTGATTACAATATTTACGCATTTACAGTTTACATAAATTACCGAAATTTTTTAAATGCCACAAACCTTGTAACTTAACTGATTGGCTAGTCTGACGTCACCATTTGACGGGTCGACCTTGACATTGAATAAATAAGAGATTGTTCAAATGCATTTATAAATAATTGAATTAATTAATAATTGAATGAATGAACAAACGAACGAACGAACAAAAGAACGAAAGAACGAACGAACGAACGAACGAATGAATAAATGAATGAATAAATGAATGGCTGAACAGTATTTAAGTAAATGATTAATTGAATGAATCAATGAATAGATACATGAATGAATAAACAAATGAATAAATGAATAAGCGATTGAATAAAATGTGTGAACGATTGAATGAACAAACACACAAACAAACGAACGAACGATAACAATAACAACAACAATTATAATTATTATTATAATTGTTATAATTATCAAATACTTTGAAATATGGCGAAGTGGTTGAGTATACCAGGGTGCCTCCAGTTAGCGAGACGAAAGAAATTCTACCGATTAAGAAGTCTGTCGGTTGGTTTATTGATTGGTTGGTTGGTTGTTTGTTTAGCTGATTGATTGATTAGTGGATTGATTGATTGGTTAATTGTTAGAATGATTGGTTGGCTGATTGTTTGAATGATTGGTTGGCTGATTGTCTGAATGATTGGTTGTTTGTCTAATTGACTGATTAATTTGTTGGTTGGTTAATTATTTGGTTACCAGTATATCAATGACTAATCAATTTGGTTGGGTGGCTGACTGACTGGTTGGCCGATTGATTGATTGAATGGTTGGTTGGTTGATAGATTGCATAATTAATGGAGTAATAAATTGATTAATAATTTACTGATTGACTGGTTGGTTAATTGTGCGCTTCATATGAACAAAAAAAGTAGACAATGAAGCGACGAAAATAAACGAATGAAGAAATGAATAAATCAGTATAAAAATGAATAAATTGTAACAAAATAACTGACTGAATATAACCGCATCGATAAAAATAAATAAATGGTTAAAGGTTAATCTCTCTCTTCTGCGTTTGCTTCAGAGGTTTCAACGACAAAAACACACAGCGTATATGAATACGCGTGCAAACCACGCATCATACACATTGCATATAAAAGGCGGGGATCTCTTTGTATTCGAACCCAGTCATTACAATCACAAGACCAGGCGCCTTTAACCATTGATAATAAACTAATAAAAATAGACAAATAATTGAATAAATTAACGATCAAAATATTGCAATTCAATCAGACGAGCCGAATCAGACCACAACCTACAAAAGTTCATGCTGAGAAAGTTCTAGGTTGAAATAAAGTTCAGACTATCTCAGACTAACTAAATTCCTACCGAGCACTACTATGCTAAGGTACTACTACTCTTCATTTATTTATTTTTCCCACGCTACTATGCTAAGGTACTATTCATTTTTATCCACGTTATTCGGTGGAAACATTCCGATTTCAAGTCAAAGCCTCTTATATTTTTTAAAAATTGCTTTCTCTAATAAAATATTTTTGTTTATCTTGCTATTTTGAATGTAACCACAAATTTCACGCATATTTTTTTAAAATGTCTACCATTTTTTATAAAAGCTCCCTGATCTATTTAGCCCAGTGAACGTTGTTAATTTCTGAACTTTTTAAATCATTTGCTGCATTGAACAGCTTCTACTCATGGATATATATATATCCATGTTTCTACTTTACATAATTCCATTTAAATCTGGTTTGATTTAGTAGCGGATGGAGCAGCGTTACAGCGGCTGGGTTAGAAATCCCTGGCTAATCAGGGGAATGTTTTCTAAGATTTCATTAGCGTGCACACTTATGTGAAGGCAAAAAATTGGGTCCTAGGGTCTTAAACAGTTCCCAACAGTCCATCACAATCACCACAGACATCACATCATCATTATCTCATCGTCATCGGCTACCTTTATCATCATCTTCATCGTCATCATAGTCACCCTCACTTACCAATGCGTGTACTCTCAGCCAGTCCATTGACGGTCAGCTCGTTAAAAAGTGTGCTCACCCAATCAGCGTTCACTGAAGTTGTGGACAGCATCGCCGCCGCCACCATTACCACAACGAATAATTTCATAAAGTTGCTGCTGCTTGATTTCATTTTGTTGTTGTTGTTGTTGTTGTTGTTGTTGTTGTATTCGTTGTTTTAAATTATTTTATTACGATGTCGTTCCTGTCGTTGGTGACGAATTTTTGTTGTGGCTGTTGTAAGGCCTATAAGATGAGGCTTGGTGCTGTTGCTTCTGGCTTTGTTGGGTGTTGTAGCGTTGCTCTGCCTGCTGCTATTGCTGTGATTTTTGTTGGTTTATTGTTGTTAATGTTGACTAAACTGACTTCAATTAATAAATAAAATTTATTACGTTAATTTAATACAGACGTTTTAGGTTTAAGAACTCTTAACAAGATATGTACAAACGGTATAAATCACTAAAAACTTACAGCTAAGCTAACTGAATAATTAAATTCAATGGTATTTAATTAAAATAATATTTAACTTGTCTTGAAAATGATAATTTAGACGAATGCTTATAACTCCATTTTGATGATTTTAATAAATTCAGAAAAAAATTCGGTCCCACGAGTAGTTAATTAAGATATTCCGAATTTAATATTTGCAGTTTTGATAAATTTTACAACTTCTCAAATTAGTCCAATTGTAATCATTTTCTCATATTTAACTAATTTAAAGTAATTATCAAAGTAAATTAGAAAAATGAATTAATATCAATAAACATTTATGGCAAATAGAACTTTTTCAACAAGATATATGTTTCAGTTCTACATCAATTGCAACTGCTGTCATAAATGCATGCATCGCATATATAATTATATATATATATATATACTGTTGATATATTAAGTAATAATTTTAGTATATGTATGTATTTTATGTGTATGTATGTGTATGTATGCATGTCTATGTATGTATGCATGTGTGTGTGTGTGTGTGTATGTGTGTGTATGCATTAGGAAATTTAGGAAATGTATGTATGTGTGTGTGTGTGTGTGTGTGTGTGGTGTGTGTGTGTGTGTGTATGTATGTATGTATGTATGTGTGCGTGTGGATATGTGTGTGTGTATTCGTATATGTTTATTCTCTTACCAATATATGTACTACTAGTTGATTAAAAACCGACTCCAATATGTGATTTCATGTGATTTCAGAAAAGAACAATATGGAATAGTAAACAACGAAAGGCAAAAATAATAAGAAAATAAATAAAAAAATAATAAAATAATAACAACATTGACGTCGATAATAAAGTAAAAAATGATAAAACTGAATATTTTAAATACTCCAACACCAGCAACAATATAATGCTGTCACACACAATTACAACAATAACACGCACGCACACGCACACACACACGCACACACTCACTCTTTCACACACACACGTACGCACACACACTCTCACACAAATACACGCACACTCACACATACACACTATACACACATCTATTGATAAATATTCAAAATTATAATTTTTATTTTACGTTTATTATAGTGCTAGAATGTATACAGCCATTATAAAACATTGTCGGACTGTTTGAGACCTGAGCGAGCCAGCAACAGAGCCTTCAGCATGCAATTCAGCATTATGAACACGAAGCTACGGAGCGAGTAGGTAGGCATTCATCTGCTATCCAACGCTCTCCTACATTGAAATACCTTCAACATGAGTCTTAAATAGCCTATGAATTTGTTGTTTGACATTCTTATCAACACAAACTCGTATACAAGTACACTAACTTATACACATATAAATACATACACACACACATACATAAAAATACAGAAATATACACACATAAAGACACACATATAAATACACACACACACACACACACACACACACACATACACATGTCGATGTTGTTAAAAGAAGGAAGACCATCGACTTGAAGCATTCACGCTTAAGAATTTATATGATCAAAACACGATGCTGAAAGGATGCATGCACACAGAAACACGAAAGCAAACTAACACACTCAGGAAAGCATTCGCAAACACACAACGCACGCACGTACGCACACACACACACACACACGAACACACACACACACGAACACACACACACACACACGAACAAACAAACTCAAACACATACGCTTATTATAGTGATGGGGCTGATTAATACAGGTATGAATGAAATCATCCAACCAGGTGTGACGAACATACGCTCTATATTTCTCTTCATATCTCTCTCATTTTTTTATTCATTCACATGCACACATGCACACACGTAATGTGTATGTAATCATATACATATATATATATATATATATATATATGTTGGTAATAGACCATAATTTTTACAATATTCTATAAATTCTACCGAATGTTTGGCGTTAATATGTTTGTAGTTTGTAGTGTAAACGAACTACAAACATATTAACGCCAAACATTTGGTAGAATTTATAGAATATTGTAAAAATATATATATATATATATATATACCTTTTTAGCAAGCACAAATCCCACATGTGACGTAGGTTGAATGAAGACAGCGCGCACTGAAGACCAAACGAACGTAGCTAAACACTCAAACACGGATAAGAACGAGCAAACAAGAAAGGCAGGCAAACCATCGCATGGGAACGCAAATCACAGCAGAAATGCCGTACGTACAACTTCTCAACCTCTAGAGCGAAACATAAATACTTGTATTTTATAACATACTTGTTTGTTGTACACGTCTGTAAGTGCACGCAGACACATGTGCACGAATACGTACATACACGTACACAAGCGATTATTAGTACGTGTAAATATACGCAATATACACACACACACATAGTTGTATGTACGTGAGTAAATATATACACGCTACACACACAGGCTTGCAAGCAATGCTTGATTCATACAATAAAATAAAACAAACTTTTTTTAATAATTTATTTCTAATAAAAAAGAGAAATAAACATAACTGCTTGATTGAATAAATGAGTGAATGAATGAACGAATAGTGAATGAGTGAATGGATGAACGAACGAATAGTGAATGAATGAACAAAAAGATTACCAATATTACTACTACTATTGATAAAGAATTAGTAATAGTACTATGACATGATCATGAAAAAAAAACCTAACCAGTCAAGTAGAAAGAAACATTTGAACTATTTTCATATAAAGAAATACTGAAACATGATTCATATTACACCATACATCATATCAATATTAACACCCATAAATACCTCCAACTGTAACATAGTAAAGATAATACAAAACAATTAAATAAATTCATCGGAACACAGTACAGTTAGTAAAAATAATTACCAACAGAGTAATTTATACAGTAAATATTGTCTCAGAAATACTTCAAAATTAAATAGACCAAATTAAATAGACATAAAGTAGTTTTAATAAATTTCAAAAAAGCGAAGGCATACAGTAATGGATAATGTTGAATTGAAGATTTGAAATAATTATGGACCATTGTCAATACCAATCAGCCATTAATTCAATCACTTATCCATTCATCCGATTCTTTCATTCATTCACTCGTTCATCCTCCGATTTTCAATCAATCAATCATCCACACGATAACAATAGTAATAACATCAATAACAGTAATGATGACAATAACACTAATAAAATAATTAAAAAACATAATGGGTAGAAACAACGCATCACACAGATATTGCACGCGATAGATAGGCGGGGATCTCCAGGCACTCGAACGCGGTCACTGCATCGGCAGTGGCAGGCACTTTACCGCTACAACATCCTGTCTTCCATCCTGTCTCCCATCATGTTTAACATTTTATTCATTGTTTGTTGTTGAATATAATATTGAATACTTTATAAATAGTATAATAATATAAATAAAATATATATGTATATATATATAAGCATTCAAAGGCAACATTTCATAAAATATATTTAAATAAAAAATATATAAAAATACACACACACACACACACACACACACATATATGTGTGCGCGCGCGTGTGTGTGACTATAATATTGGTGTTCAAGTTTGTATAGAAAATAGTATATAAAATTAACAGTGAAAAAAAAAATTTTTTGATTTTGGTTGACAAAACAGTAGCAACAAAGTGAATCAGTAGTAATAATACTCGGTAAAAATGGTAAGCAATCATGGTAAAGGTTGGAAAATACTGGAAGATTAAGACTGCGAAAAGTTATAATATAAACAAGTAGTAATAATATTATAGCAAAAATTAGAATATAATTATAATAATAATAATAATAACAACAACCACAACAGCACAATAATAATATTAATAATAACAACAATAATAAAAGAATGTACTCAGAGTAAAAGGCAACTTGGTGTAACATGTCACAGGTAATTGGGAGGTTGTGTAAGACCATCATCATTAATATGATTAATGCATGTCATTTATATTATTATTATTATTACTACTGCCAACAGTATTATCATTACCATTATTACTATTATTACAATTATTATTACAAAAATAATTGCCTTCCAAATCAGGTAAATCATTGTAAATATAAATTACAAATGGAAATACATTCACAGGATGCTTTGAAATAACTTTACGGAGTTTCACAGCCCTTACATCATACAACACAAAAATTATGAATATCTTGAAAAATAATAGTTATAAGAAAATAATTATTGACATGTTCATGATTGAGAAGATAAATCATTGAAAAAGAGGATCAAAGACATGGTTGGAAGTTAAGCTGGACTTATAAAATAAGGCCTTTCATGATGAAACTTTGAGGAGAAAATTAAACTGAAGAACATGTGATTGACTCATAAATAACACGACTCTGTGTAAGAATAATTGATTAAATAAATAAATAAAACAAACAAACAAATAAATAAATTTTCCAAAATATCAATTAAAACAGAGATAATGAAGTGAATGAATGGATGATGAACCTATAGAAGAAACTAATATTTATGAAGAAAAAAATTAAGAAAGCCTCTTAACTGTTTAAGGCTATCCTTTTATTCACAACAGGCGCACACATATCACACTCACACACATACGCACACACTTACACAGACGAATGCACGAAGGCCAACACTAATTATTTTTAGTGGATAGGATGAGAGCCACAATGAGACCATAGAGGCCAAGTACTTCTGCAAAAATTAAAATTAAAATCATCCCGACAAACAACTTTGGCTGATGTGCGACGCCCCTGACGCCTGCATCCCCCACCACACCAATGGCAAACCCGGCAGCCAGTCCTGACAATCCCACACTAAGTCCTGCTCCAAGGTCCAGGAAGCTCCTGTTTAATTATTTTTTTAGTTCAAAGGTTTTTTTAAATCCCTATGACTGAATCACACTAAAACATGAGCTTATACAACATGCAGTAAAAGTTTAACTTTTAAAAGTTAGCTCACTCCTTTTAAAAACTAAAAAGGACCCCACACCGAAATCAGATCAAACCCACTTGTATAACGAGTATTTCGACGTCTTAGGATCCCCAATGCCGTTGGCTATGAGAGCGGCCACCACCAGACCATAGATAGCAATGATACCAGCCATGACAACAGGAATGACGGATTTCATAATCAAATCCGGGCGCAATATGGCCATGTTTGCAATTCCACATCCAGATTTTGCAGTTCCATAGGCAGCTCCAAGGGCTATGTGTGTTAAAGAGAATTTTATCATAAGTTATGTAATATTAAATTTATTTTATAAAATGCTAAAATTTAAAACAGGATGATCATGTCACTGACAAATAAGATAAGAGTAAACTTCAAATTAACAATTCATCTTTGAAAGTCTTCTCATTAGTTTTTTAGTTTCTTTGGTGATTGATGAATTAAAAATTAAATAAAAAAAACTAAAAACTTACAACTAAAAACGATGGCGCTGGCTGCCCCAATGGCGCCGAAGAAGGGGGTGTAAGGTGGCTGAAGAGGATTATCTTGAGACATTTTCAGACTAGTAGATGAAATTATTAAATAGATTTTTACTTCAATTAATTTTATCAAACACAATAAAACGCGCAAGCACTTGGTTAAACTTGTTCTAAGGAACTGAAGGAAGATTAAAGCGTTAACGTCAGTCTAGCTAGCAAAGCAGAACTTTCATAAAAAAAACTGTCAGAAAAGAACAGCGTAACGTAAAGATTTTGCTCTCGGCATAGTCATTAAAAGATGATTTTTGGTAATATTATAATGAAAATAAATCAATTGTTTTGTAGATGCACAAATGTAATTAATTTATTTGAGCAAATAAAACCGAAAATGGATACAAACCAGAATTTTTAAACGTAAAATTTAAAAGTGGGCGGTACATCAGACAGACACCTAATCGCTTTCTAGCGTGAACTTTTAGTGTCACATGCTCGCACTTGATGAAAAGTAAGTAAGACACGTTGGCACTTGATGAAAAGTAAATTAGTACGACAGCACAACTGTGTATTTATATTTTGAAATACACTCACCAAAATCTTCCCGATGATGGAACTACTGAAGAAGAAAACTCCATAACCGATCAATTTATTGCTTTATTAAGTATCAGGACAAATGTATTGCATATACTCTAGGAAAGAGGTTTTTAAACTTATGAATTACACTTGAGAACTGTGTCCCCTCAAAAGCACGCAAGTTCATCGTAAAAATATTGGCAGGTTTTTTTTCAATTTAAACGATTCATAAAAATAAAAAAAAAACTATAAAAAAAATGTCTAACATTTTGAGAGTAACTGCAAATTCACGTGCTAATTTGAATGCAATATAATATAAGTATTGTTTGCAGAACAATTTTTTTTGCTTTTTGTATATAATATATATATATATATTTTTTTACAATATTCTATAAATTCTACCGAATGTTTGGCGTTAATATGTTTGTAGTTTGTTTTTTCAATTTTACGAACTACAAACATATTAACGCCAAACACTCGGTAGAATTTATAGAATATTGTAAAAATTATGATCTATTACCAACATATATATATATATATATATATATATATATATATATATATATATATATATATATATATATATATATATATATATATATATATATATACACACATATATATATATATATATATAT